AAGGAAAAAAGCTACTTGGACGTTTGATTGCGATTTGGCTAACTTTATGGACAAACAACTGTAGCTCATGGGTGAGAAATATCAGCGGAGTACGAATGTACTGCTTATGACAATGCGTGAGGCAGAACAGTGAAGGAGACCGTAAGGGTCACGAGGTCGAATGGATAGTGCCGTAGATGCCCCCCTAATACGCCGTTGCTGATTATCGGGTATGCCGATAAGTTACCGAAAGCAGGAGAACCCGCCACGGCTGTCAACAGGCTGTTGCTGGTCGAAAGGAGGCAAATAAATTCATGTGTAGAATTTGGCCTGCCAGAGTTTTATACATATTTTTTTTTCCAAATTTCAAGCAATAAGCTGAGAATACTTTTTTTTCGCGTGTGGTAAGACTACAGGGTTCGGGTGCTTCTACAGTCGGCACTGCTTTACCGGTCAAGCTTCCTTTTACAGACATCGACAACAAACAACATCCAGGGGCAGAGCATTTCAGGCTTCGATCACTCTGTTGCAAAAGGATGATCTTCGTGTATCCCGCCTGTTCCCAGTCACAAGTAGTTTCAATGGCTAAACTCGAAAGTGCGTAATTGCTGCTACATCGAAGAAGTCATCAGTTAGAAGGCAGCAGTACTGACAAAGCATAGTACGCAATATTTGCATCAGGTTACTTCGTAGCTTCCTGTAATTCAAATGAAACAGGTCCAGATCAAACAGGCGTGTTAAATAGGGTAATGAGCACTGACGTTTAGTTTCACGCCTTTGAACTTTTCGAGAATATTAAAGTCTTTTGCGACCCATTGTCTCCAAGCGGGGATAGTGAACTTCAGTTGCGGCCGCAAAAAGTTTCCAAAGACTAAGCAGTGTTCATCAAAGGCAGAGTAAGCCCGTTTGACGAGGTAGAGGACGGACATCGCAGACATGTTTTCTTTTGGGCAGTGCAGTGAAGGTTTAAGCGAATTCGTGATCCACATTCCCAAGATCTTATGCGCGTCCACTTCTTGCAATTGTATGCCGTTTGGGCAGTAAACCACGGAAGTCAAAGAGCTTGATGAGGGCTCATTTGTCCCCTAAGAGTATCTTAAGTATGCGAAACGCGAAACTGCAAAGGCCTCCGCTCAAGTGTCTTCCGGGATAGGCGGTTACAGGGAATAGAATGGATGGAGCACATCAGGGAGCATATAGATGCGCAGTAATTGTGGGATATAGGA